TTACAGTCGACAAAATAAGTGGCAATGGCAGCATTAAATAGTTTTACCCATACTATCGAGGCTGGTTCCTTCAATGTACTATTAGCACTCCTTCCCAAGCGAGGGCCCATAATACAATTAAACACATTAACGCAAAGCCTAGCCCTTAAGGGCCTAGCAATTGAGGCAAGTTGCTAGGCGATTAGGGCCTAAGCGATTGAGCCGCTTAGCTTGTAATTAGCAATTGCTAGGCGATTAGCATGTAGCTAGCGATTAGCGCTTAGCTAAGAACACAATTAGTGCTTAGCTCAGCGCTAGCTTTGGTTACTGTGTTTATGTGTGCTAACTCTAGCTAGCTAAAGAGAATTAGAAGGTATTAATATGCTAGCGCTAGGTAGCTAGCTAAAGAGAATGACATGGTATTAATGGGCCAGAGGCAGGCACGCTCAAAATTTCTTTAGGAATTTTCTAGTTATTTCTATTATCAGTTCATCTGTTAATCATTTTCTCGATTAGTCAATTGGTTGTTTGGTTCATAAAATGGTGAAAAATCTGTTTCCCAAGGCACAAGGTAATTATTTATCCACAACACAAAGATATTCAGTTTCCTGTCATAGAGGACTAAAGAGAGACTTTTTTTGCTTAAATTACTCGACTTAAAGATTAATCGATCATCAAATTAGTTGGTGATTAATTTAATTAGAAAATAAAATGATTAATCTGCTGATTGTTGCAGCTCTAGATGATCAACACTCCCTCATGAGTTTAGGGAGGTGCTGATAAAGTAATAATAATAACTGTATGTGTGTGACTCATCGTCTGTGTATCTATCTATGTTAGGTTCATCAGGGGACAGCGAGGACTGCGCTATTGGCTCCCAGGGACTCCGGGTCCCCACTCAGAAATCCTACTCCTCCAGTGAAACCCTCAAGGCCTTCGACCAGCACCAAGACCAGACCAGGTGAGAACTGGGATTACATCAGTCACTTCTGTATACAGAAAAGTGTAAAAATAACTATTAGTTTTCTTTTCTATTATAGCTTTTATTTTTCTATTTTATTTGTATTTAATGTTTATTTTCTTATCTATTGTGTTTGTGTTATTTTCTCGAGCTGCTGTGACAAGCAAATTTCATATCGTATCGTAACATACCATATATTGTCTTACGCACAGTAGATAATATTAGAACTGTGTCATAGATTGCTGAAGCACTACAAAACACATGGTATTGACCAGACTAAAACATAGAAACATATCTATACAGCTATGATTGATTGGTACAGTCAAAATCTCTGCTAATAGTTCCAGAGAGGAGTTGGTAGATACTGGTTTTGTTCACCTGGTAGGATCAAAATGATTATTCTTACTTTATTTAAATTCCCATGTCTACTCACTATACTTCTACTTCCCAAAGCTGTTATTTTCATGGTTTATAAGAAAGCTTGAACCAACATGATCCGTCCAAAGCCCTTTCCAGTTTATTTCATCAAAGCATGAAAGTGAAATGAATGAATGAATTTTTATTCCACGTGTTTTAATTGCCTGTTGTGCTTTTTAATAACTCTTATATTTATAGGATTTGTCCAGGGTTTTTTATATGTATGGTTAAAGATGCACAATTTTTTTCAGCTGATACAATAATTACCTGTTTGCCATGGCTGATACAATAAGCAATAATTTTACATTTTTGTATTATAAAAAAGGACTTCATAATCTGTTGTTTATGCACACCTAAGGGAAAGAAGGATAAGATGTAGTAAGCAAAGATTTTATATTCTATAGCTCTGATCTAACCAAATCTAACTGACATCTGCTGTTCTGACTCTTCAAATGTTCATTTTGTCATCACACTTATTCTTCACCTAAACATAAAACCTATCCATTGTATTGCATAAGAATTAGAAATAAACTGTTATTATCAACCAATAATTTATCATCTATAATTTCTTCATTGGAACGATACATAAAAATATACTTTTACTGTATCATGCCCGATATATATATTGTGCATCCCTATTATAGCTAGGGTTAACACTAGAGATAAATCGTCGACCACTGTCAGTGATCAGCCTAGGCAATGTTTTTACTGTGTTTTCTGACAACCACACACACTGTCCAGCTTGATCTCTGATTGTACTTTAAACTGGTTTGGTACCTATAAACCTAACAGTGAGTTTTTATTCTGAAGGACTCCTTTTATTATAGTAACACTTTTGTCCCGTTGACAGGTTACTGTACGGGACAACCAAGGGACAGAAGGACATGGTTCATCGTGAACAGGATGATTATAACAGACAAGGTGAGTCCATGTGCAGACACATATGCTGCCCTTGCCTTCTTTGTTCGGTTAACTTTGCACACTCAAGCAACAAGGCTTAAAATTGTGTATTTTGAACTAAATAGGTGTTCTGTTGGTAGCCTTGAAAAATCATGCTTCTCTGCTTTTTGTGAAGCTGCAATTTGATCATGTTTATAATGCCTTTTTCTCTCTTTGGCTTTCTGTAATTTGTGATTTTCACATCATTAATTGACAGATGCATTTAGTGCATGACCAATTCTGTGTTAATGCAAATCTTAATTTTTGCTTTATCCAAAACTTATACTTTGGTATTTTGTTATTTGTTATTAGAGCGTGTATTTGTTTACAAATTTGTGGATTTTTAAAACTTGCTTAACCCATTAATGGTCCAAGTATGGATGTATGTATGTCCGATGAAAGCTATAATGAACCCCTAAAAGTGACACATCAAAGTGAAAGAAATAGAGGAAAAGAGGCACATTAAATAGGAAAAAATGCTTAACCACAGTGTGTATCCATTGTTCTCTAGCTCCAATTAACACAGCGTCAATATTTGAGAAATGAAAAAATCCTAATTACTCAATCATCTTATCGCCTTCGTTTTCACTGCTGGCCTAATTGGAGCTCATTTAAAATTAATATAACTTTTAATTGAACGGCAGCACCCGTTATCTCTTGTTGTGCCATTAATTACGGAAAGCTTTTATAATTTCCCTTTCATTTGCTGATTAAAGATGACGAGGCACACACTGAGATTTTGCAGATACTTTATTTGTCTTCTTTTCATTTATATTTTAAAGGATTATCACACATGTTATTTGAGTGTGATTTCATCCCATTTCCAGAAAGAGTTACTCCTGATGACTTATTAAATTAAATTAAAAAAGTATACTGAATTTGTTATCTATTTGTGAATTTCTTTTCCCAGTTTGCATGTTTTCAAATATTAAATAAGCATTTTTTTTTTAAAGGAAGAAACAGAACCCCCATTTAAACACACAATATTTAACATGTTCCTTTTGTTTTTGGAGGGAACTGTGATTTTTTTTACATGTTCCATAGGATGTAATTACAAAAAGGCATAAAGCCCTGCATCCATAATAATTACATCCATCATTATTGCATATGCTCCCAAGTAAAATTACTGGCATTTTAATGCACATTATTTTAGATAACTCTGACAATTTCAGTCTTACCTTATTGTATCTGTTTCAATATATATCTTGCATTTGCATTATTTATTTTATGCTTATTTAAAATCACTACAGCACTATTAAACATATACTCCAAAAAAGAAATCATGTTTTACAGCACAAAAAATTCATGTGAAATATTTATGTTGTATGTCATTGATTTTTAGGACTACGGTTAGTTAGTTGGTTAGTCGTTTGATGTTTATTTTTCCCCTTTTTGTCAAATTTTGTCAAATTTCATCTTTTATCTTTGAAATCTAATAATATAATCCACAGAAACTTCCTATTTACACCCAGGAGACTAGTAATAATGTTCATGAATGTATATTTTTGTGAATTTTCATCAAAATGTGTGTTTAGATTAAAGTCTATCAATAAATAACCAGTTTATCGATTCATTCCATGTATGTAATTCTGAGTTGTCTGGTTGATTACTGATTCCTCAGAAACTTCATAATTGTGTGGCGTGGCTGTGTCTCTTAATTATGAAAATGCTGACCTTTTGAAGCTATAACAACACTTTTTTTCTCTTGGTTTTGTCTATGATCATTTCAAGATTAATATATTTGAATATGTTCTATAATTTAGATCTGAGCAAATGGTATAAAATAATCTATGTGCATTTTGTACAAATGATTAAATTCATGATATTAAAGATGCACATTCTAATGCGAGTTGCATCACCTTCACAGTTTATTTGTGGATAGTCTGCGGGCTTAAAGCTTTTGTGATCTTTATCTTCTCCTGTAATGGCTAAATGAGATTTAAGGGATCTAGTTAATAAGTATCCACCTTCTCAGTCTAGTCTTTCTTCTCTATTGCTAGAGTGGTCTTTTAGTTGTGTCTCTTTTTTTTCTTTTTAATGATTTTCTTTTTAATTTTTGTCCTGCCTGACGGTGGTATCGGACTATTAACATTGAGCCAAGGCTTGTCTTCTTGAACACATGATGATTCTGTACTGCATGAGTCAGGCTCTCTGTACGGGTTGCAGCTGCTGTCAGTGTGTGCTGTCCTTTCTTAACTCAGAACCTTCTCTCCCTCTTGGCAAACCTCTTTGCTACACACTCTCAATTGCAAGATCGGGTGTCTCTCTGATGTGATTAGGCCATTATATAGGGTCAGTAATAATAATTTATGATACAATTCAATTAATCAGGTAGTTGATCAACAGAAAATTAATTTTGATAATTGGTTCATCCAAGAAATGTATCAAGCAAAAAATGCCAAACATGTTCTGGTTCCAGCTTCACAAATGTGAGGATTTACTATTTTTGTCTGTTTTATATAGAGCTGCAATGATTAGTTGCCATTAGTAGCCATTCAGTTAATTGAACTCTATGTTGATATTTGATTAATTGTTGACATTTTATAGACCAAATTACTTTTCAATGAATCAAGAAAATGTGTTAATCTGTGTTTAATCAAAACTGAAAATAATGTCAGTTACAGCCTTAGTTTAAAAAAACTGTACATTGAATATCTTTGGTTTACTGAAACAATAAAAGTTAACAATGTAGTTTTGGCTTCTGGGAAATTGAATGGTTCTCTACTTAATTTATAGCCAGGTAATGAACTTGTTTGTATATAAATGAGCTATGAGAAAAGAACATAAATATGAAGGTGATTTTAATTTTTTTTTTTCAGTCAGTTGAAAATATGAAAATGATTCAGCTTGAACATCAGTATTTCTTTACAGTTTTCACTGTGCTTTTGTCACAGGCCTTTAAGTGTCATATTTTAAGGTATCTATCACATATGTGATTATCTTATTATAAAGTTGGTATATATACAACAACATATAATAAATAATTTAAAGTGTAATGTGTATTTTTACACTAGTATGTAGAACACTATGTTCTCCATCGTCTCTATTTCAGGTCAGCATTTCAGTCTTCGTCAGCTGGGGATCTGTGAGCCACCGTCGCGTCGTGGCCTGGCCTTCTGCTCCGAGATGGGCCTGCCCCACCGTGGCTTCTCAGTTGGAACGGCCCAGGACCTCGACACCGATAGTCATGCCGTGATGTCACCGGAGCGTGCCATGCGGCTGTGGGGCCGTGGGGGTCTGGGGAAATCATCCGGGAGGAGTTCCTGCCTGTCCAGCCGCTCCAACTCAGTGCTGACTCTTACCGACACCGAGCACGAGAACAAGTCAGACAGCGACAATGGTAGGACATATTACTGACTGTTTAACCTCTTTCTTTCTGGTTTTCTTTATCTCTCTATGCTCAAAAGCTCACCTACAATAATGCTTAAGTCATGTTTAGCTGTTTCAATATCTTAAATGTAGAGGTAGAGTGGCCCATGTTTCATTTTTAGTTTACTATTGACTTCTTCTCAGTCACACACAGACACGCTATTTACTCATTCTGATTGATTTCCTTTCAGTCTTGACTGTGAGAGTATACATATAGTGTATGATTGAGCATTATGCTGATTGTTGATAGGATAGGTGCTTACAATGTGCAGCCAAGTGTGATCTCCAGAAACATCTTCAACACTAATCCAGGATATCTGAATCAACACACATTTCTCAAGTTTATTTGCATTTTTCTCTTGAATGCTACACACTTGTAGTTGATGCCTCAGACACTGCCATGGCTTGTCTTGACACTGATATAAGTTTGGAATTATGTGTTGATACAGCAATTCACATCCTTATTAGATTCTTTAAAAAAAGAGATATAAATAAAGTCTAGGTTTTTACTAGATCTTTAAGGAATTTTTGCACAGTCTCAGCAGAGATGAGAGCACTTTGTTCCTTTAATTTATCAAATGATCAAGTGATTTTCTATGGTAAAATCACAAATAAATCCTGACCTAAATTCTTTCTAGCAAAAAGCCAAGCGATGCAACTTTCTTGTCTTGCTGTGACTCCGCTGGTTGTGCTGTGTGTGTGAGAGGGACAGACGCTGAATTTCCTCGTCTCATTGTTGTCTAAAGACATTAAGTACAGTAGTGGTAGTAGTTAATGTCTACCCTGCAATGAGTGGCCCACTCTGCCACCTCAAATACAAATAAATAGAGAAGAAAAAGAAAAACAGCTTCAACAGCAGTTTCTCTAGTTTGACAATAATGTGATTCCACTGATATTTACTGTGTACATACACCCCCACTGAATGTCCTCTCTGGTCTTGGGAATTTGGGAAGGAGGGGCAGTAGTTAGGGGCAGGGCAGCAGCAAAACACAAAAGAATGTCCTGCTAATGAATTGAATTAATGATCACAGTTTAGCTGAGCAGTCATTTGTTTCGTGTCCTTTTTTTGCGCTAATTTGTGTGCACTTATTATCATATAGATGTATGCACAAAAACGTATATGTGCAAATATCTTTGTAAAGTAGTTCTTTATATGCTTGTGCTTGCATTTTTGTGTGTGTGTGTGTGAAGCCTGTTCATTATCCTCAAGGTAGTTTTCCCTAACAGGTGTGAATTTCATACTTAATAAAGGACTTGGTTTTGATTTCACGCACATACACACACACAGATATACACTGTATTTTCATTAAGCCACACACACACACACAGTGGTTTTCATTAAGAGATGTGATGTTGTAATTAACAGTGAGATAAAGTGCTGAGTCACAGTATCTCCTATATTAAGTTTGATAATGTTTTTATTAAATGGCATTATGCTGTTGATGTCAGTGCTCTGGAGGATACACTTCCCATCTCTAAAAGTGAGTAGTCGTCAAGTTTTCAAAGGCTAATTGCTGCTTTAAAACGCAGGTGTGTGTGTCTGTGTCTGTGTGTATGTGTGTGCTAGCTCTAATTTGTTAGTGTGTGTAAGTGTGAAGATGAAGTGGTTCAAGTATGGTCAGTTGTGGGTTTAGACTAGTCTTATCAGTGGTAATATTGTTTTTGTGTCCCATGAGAGTGGTGGCTGGGTCATGGGATGGCGATTAACCCTGATAAGAGCAAGACAGCTTCAAACATTAGAGAGAGAGACAGTTGTGTGACATGTTTTGTTTTTAAGGGCTTGCTTTGAAGCTCATACTGGTATGCACCTTGCATCATGTGCCTCGTGTGGTCGGACACTGTTGGTCCATTACCGGACATAAGTAGTGTTTTCCTTGTAGTTTCACAAAGAAATCCTTTTTTGTAAAGAAATGTCACTAAAATTTGTGTTGACATAAACAAAACTCATCATCATCATGAATGTCATGAAAGGTACAACTACCACAAAACACTAAAGTCAATGTTTAACACTGTGTAGCTGGAGGCTACCTGTTGACCCTGTCACATCTACTTTCAGTCAGAATAGATCATAGTCCCTTTCCACTGCAAAAAGATATCCACAAACCCAGGAACCTTTCATGACAAGTTCCTGGGCTATAGTTGGTCAATCTGAATGTCTTGTTCTCAGGATGGCTTCGGAACTGCCTAGAATTTCCAGCAGGTGCATGGCAGGCCCTTGCTTATCTGAAAGGAATCAATGGATATGACTGGCAGCTGCTCAGGGCGCCAATTCTGAGTGACTGGTACAGTATGCACCAAATCATAACAAAGGTCATCTCAAGACTCTTTTCATATAGAGCAAGTCTAGACCATACACTTCATAATATTATTTACAGGGATGCACTAATTGGGAAATTCTGGGCCTATGCCAGTGTTCAGAATAACAATTTGGACAATAGTCAATGTTTTTTTGTTTTTTATTCTCTCTTTTGTCTTGGGAAACTACAGAACTCTACAAAGATAAGTATCTCTGAATTGTTTCAGCTCAGTCTATTTCTTTTCTCATCCAAGATGTGAGATGCAGAGCTGAACAGCCACTCACTGTCTGTGCTGCTGCATGGAGCAAATCGGTGTGTATTTTGTGCCAGTGCTGGAAAGCGGAGGTGAAGGGTTACTTACAGTCAGCTGATTGTGCCTGCTTTGGAGACTGGAATTTATTCTTTCTGGAATTTCTAATGACTTATCTCCTTTCCAACATCCTTTCAAACATGGTGACTCAGTTTTGTCTTGTGACACGGATAAATTGCATCTCAGGCAAAGCTGAAATTTGACTATTCCTAACATTTCTTCACATCAAGGGGAAATTCAAGCACACATTTGTCAATTAAATCCAGATGTAGTTTTTGAGTTCTAGTTCATGGGGTGCCCTAGCTCATGCAATTTAACCTTTTCACTCAAAAAATAGTGTGAATGCATTGAATGTCAGCACCAAAACAGCACTACTGACTGAACCTCATAGATTTGCATTCACAAAATGTGGAACTGACCTCCATGCTTTGCTTGTCTGTGATCAGTGCGGTATTAAGTAGTGTCGAGAGGCTTTTTTGAGCTAGACGTATGTGGGGAGATGCTACTTAACAGCCACCACACCTTCACTTCCTCTCTTGTGCTACTCTTCACTCTCTGAATGGATCTGAATAGAGCTGATAGTGGAGTTATTGTGATGTAAACAGCAGACGACACATCGCCTCCGCTGAGAAGCCTCTTGTTGCTCCGTCCCTTGATACTGAACCTGCTTCGCAGCAGAAAGTGAGTGTGCTCGGGCGCGTGCACGTGTTTGTGTGTGTACAGTAACTTAAGCCAACTCCTGTGATTCTATCAATGGCTTTGTTGCAAGAGGAAGCGATAGACAGAATGGATAACAGTGAGGGAAAGTATAGGAGAAGAGAGGAAAACATCAGAGAGGAGGAGAAAAAAACACAAAGCATTTGAATGGATACAGTAATTCAAAAGAGAGGCAGGGAAAGACTAAAGAATAAAAGCAGAACAGGGAAAGGGAGAAGCCTCTCTGCATTATTTGTTCTCCTGAGAGGAAATATTAGACCAGAGACGTCTGGCTGGCTCCCCAGTGGACACACACAAAAACCTGCACACACACACTGGCAGACGTAAACACTTTTGTGGTGTCTGGACCCATGGGTGCCCAGCTGCTGTTGCCCGGTTACTTGATATTGGTGATCTCAACTACAGGGACAGAAAAAGGACGATACATTTACATTTTTTATCCTAAACACACTGATACAGGTGTGTCTTTCCTTGAAAATGTCATTAGACACTAAATGTGATACATTTTCTGAAATTATGGCTGCATATGGCAAGTATGCGAAAGAAGGAAGCTGGTGAAGGATAATTTCTTTTGGAAATGTAAAAATGAAATAGGAACCTTCCTACACTCTTATGTGGGAATGTAGTTTGTTTTGGACCACTTTGGATCCAGGTATTAGAAATGCAGTAGTGAAATAGTTTAATCTGGAAATCTCTCTAAGCCTGAAGTAATGTTTAATACTTAATACTGTTATAATGTTTATAATATAGTTGTATGCAGACGTTTGGCCACCCCTTGACAAATGACTAGTTTTGGTGATTTTTTTAATTGAAAAGTTGTAAACACAGCCTTTCTAGGATATGGAACATA